TAAAAATATATTTTTAATTGATTTTTAACAGAGAGGAAGAGAGAGGGATAGAGAGCCAGAAACATCGATTAGAGAGAATCATTGATCAGCTGCCTCCTGCATCCCCCCACCGGGGATGTGCCCGCAACCAAGGCACATGCCTCTGACCGGAATCGAACCTGGGACCCCTCAGTCCACAAGCCGATGCTCTATCCACTGAGCCAAACCGGTCTCGGCTGCATCTCAATTTCTGACTCAATTCAGTTCTCTAGTTGATGCCTCAACCTCATTCCTTCATATGTTCAATTTTTTCTTTTCTTTTTTTAAAAAAAAGATCACTGGCTGACAACACCAAGAAGGCAGGTGGAAGGGAGTCAGGTCATGTAACTCACAGACCTTCAGCTGTAACAACAGAAAGATGAGCAGGATAAAGCAATTCTGAATCTATGAGAATGCAGGCCCCTGGCCCAGTGATGGTCATCTACAGTCCTCATCTTATTTTCAGCCAGTTGGAGGCCAAGGGTTAATAACTGGTAGCTTGCTGCCCACAACATGATAAACCAACCTAATGAACTGAATAAACAGTCTAGAGCAGTGGTTCTCAACCTTTCTAATGCCCGACCCTTTAATACAGTTCATGCTGTGGTGACCCCCAACCATAAAATTATTCTCATTGATACTTCATAACTGTAATTTTGCTACTGTTGTGAATCATAATGTAAATATCTGTGTTCTCCAATGGTCTTAGGCTCTATAGCAGCAGTTCTCAACCTGTGGGTTCCCTAAATGTGCTTTATCAAACTAAGGAAATTCCCTTTAAGTTATGATTTGCTTAGAGCTTTTATCATAAATCAAATGCAAGTGAATTGTCAAATGCACCTTCGACATTTATTAATCACATTGTTTTCCTCGTGTATTATATGGTAAATTTTATTATTTTATCACTGCCATAGTTGTTCATAATATTTGGAGAACCTGTAGTGGCTTTACCTCTCTCATTCTCGGCATTGGTCACTTCTTTCTTTTAATCCTGTGCAGTCTGGACAGGTGTATGGATTATTCTAGAGCTTCTCAAAGAATAGGTTTGGGGTTACATTTTTTCTATTACTTTTTCTTTCCAGTGTCATTGATTTCTCCTCTACCTTTGTTATTTCTCCTCTTCTGCTTATACTTCTATTTGCTCTGCTTTTTCTTTCTTGGTATGAATTGTAAATTAGTTTATTGTTTTGTCCTGAAAATTTAATGTTTACTTAAAACCTTATAATAGAAACAGACCTATAAATCCAGAGCCTCTGCACAAACATTTTCAGATTTTATTCCCGATTTCGTCTTCAAATTACCCACACAAAGCTTCTTATGAAGAATGTTTTAAGCTATATTGATGATTTTAAAAGACATAAAACATTAAAAATAAAAAATAAAAAAACTTCCTCTTTTCCAGGAGCAACATTTTACATTAAGTTACCCTTTTTAATCATCTCTGGTGTCAATTCTGGGAGAACCAGGGTGGTCGCTTCTTTTCTCCTTCAATGATCCTCTTGCCCTGATCTTGTTCAGACGGTGTCTCTCCCCTGTACGCACCAGGGTCTCTACGGTAGGAGCCTTAAAAGGGTAGGAGCCCCCCTTTCTGATTTCTTTAGTCTCCTTGCGCACATTCTCATAGCAATAGCCACAAAGGACATGTTTCTGTTTCAGTGACCACATTCAGACAAACGACTATGTTGTGCTTAACTTTAATAAGCTCGTAAGGGTTTCTTCTCCTACATCGGTTAACTTCAATGCTGCGTCTCTTTTTGGGTGCTGCCATCCAAAAGATACTATCCAAAAGGGTGGAAATCTCCTTACTTCTATTAGTATCATTTGCTGATTCTGTAAATAGAGCCGGACCTTAGACCGCTAATGCTTGTTCCCATGGAGGCCTGGGAAAGCCTGGCCGGCTTTGCTGAAGCGTCCACTGCAGTCGCTGCCAGCAGTTCGGAGAAGTTTCTGGGCTGCAGGTCACGGCAGGAACCACCAGCACCGGCATGGCCGCAGGCACCCTGCTCTGCTTTTTCTTACGTGGAAGCTGGGGTCACTGATTTGAGACTTTCCCCCCTGAACATAGCATCTATTATAGTTCCATCACTTTCCCTCCAAGTACTGCTCTCATTGCATCACAAGATACAACATCAACAGACAAGAAATGAACTGTATGTCCATATACCAGCGATGAACAAGCAGAAACCAAAGTTAGGAAAACAACACCATTTACAATAGTTTCAAGAAACCATTACTTAGCTCTAAATCCAATAAAAATTGTAAAGAATCCGTACGCTGAAACTACATGATGCTGGTGAAAGAAAAGAAAAAAGAAATAAATGGAGACATGTCATATTCATGGTTTAGAAGATTCCCATCCTAAATACGTGAACTCTCCCCAAACTTATCCTATAGATTTAATTGAATTCCAGTGAAAATCCCAGTAGGACTTTTGTATGGACAAACTGACTCTAAAATTTACATAGGAAAGCAAAACTGATAGAAAAGCCAAAATAAATTTGCAAGAATGAAGTTGTGGAAATCACACTACCAGATTTTTAAGACACAAGAAGCTACAGTAATCATGACCATGTGCTGTTGACAAAAGGAGACACTCATAGGCCAATGGAAGAGAATACAAAACCCAGAAATAAACCTATATCAAAATGGCTAATTGTTTCTTGACAAAGATACAAAAGAAGTTCTTTGGGAAAAGAATAGTCTTTTCAAGAAAGGGTCCTGAAACAACCAGACATCCATCCATATGTCCCCAAACAAAAACCATAACCTTCACATTTTGAAAAATCAACTCAAAAGAGATTATAAACCTAAATGTCATGTTAAACTATAAAACATTTGGAATAAAATATAGATGATCTTCAAGAACTGAGGCTAGACAAAGATTTCTTAGACATGCCACCAAAAAGCAAGACCCACGTTAAAAAAAAAAATTGATAAACTGGACTTCGCCCAAATAAAAATCGTTGCTCTATGAAAAACACGGTCAAGTGAATGAAGAGATAAGCTGCAACTTAGGAGGAAATGTTGCAAATCAAACTATTGTAACAGAGAACCAATTTGTACCCAAAATACATAAAGGTTCTAGGCTCAACAGTAAGAAAATGACTCGGTGTAAAAATGAACCAAAAAAACATTAGAAAAAGAAAATAATTAAAAAGGCAAAAAAATTAAAAATTAACAAACCATTTCGATACTTCATCAAAGAAGATGCACAGATGGTAAACAATCCATCTTTCCATTAGAGAAATGTATAAAGGAAAACCATAATGAGATTTCACTACACATCTATTAAAATGGCTAAAATAAGAGATACTAACAAAATCAAGTGCTGGTAAAGATGCAGAACTAGAACTGCCTTTTCACTGAGTAATAACTTTTTCCAAAACATTATATAAATATGTTTGCAGGAAATAATATTTTGGGTTTTTGTTGTTATTTTAATATACTTTTGATTTCAGAGAGGAAGGGAGAGGGAGAGATAGAAATATCAATGATAGAGAGAACCATGGATCAGCTGCTTCCTGCACATCCCCTACTGGGGACCAACCCTGCAACCCAGCCAACTGCCCTTGATTGGGATTGAACCCAGGGCCCTTCAATCTGCAGTCCGACGCTCTATCCACTGAGCCAAACTGGCTAGGGCAGGAAGTAATATTTTGACATCTTGACTTTAGGCAAAGACACTCTCCAGTTGACTCAACACACATTTCTAGTCAGAGGACATATGGAACAAATTTGAATTGTGCACCAAATTTAAATGCAGCATAAAAAGTTTTAGTTGGCATGAGTGGAATCCTCTAGATTTCAGGCAGCCACGTATGTCCACTATTTCCTCCTTTTAAAAAGCACTCTTGAATTTGTCCTTTGTTTGGTTCTAAAGGAGCAAGCGTTTTCTGTAAAGGGTCATGGTATTGTCAGCTCTGCGGCCATCAGGGCTGTGGCAGCTTCTTCCCTCTGCCCTCCGCAGAGCAGTGGAGACAACGCCGTTTCTATTGCGTGGGCTCCAAGCAGCCGCTACGGGAACTGCTGTGGCCAGGTCTGGCCCACTGACCCGCTGCAGGGGCTGGGACAGCAGAGGGTGCGGGCCAGCCCTCGCACAGCACATTTAGAACTCCGCTGGCAGCTCTCGGCAGGACCAGAGCCAGCTTCCATTAGCGCTAAGCACCGCATTAGCAGCTTCCTGGTTTTATTGGAGAAACATCTCAAGGGCTGGCAGGCACCAGTCTGGCCTCGAGGTAGTTTCAAGAGACATCAGAGAGGAGCTGGTCTGGCAGGAGGGGGGGCATGCTGGTGTGCAGAGGCTGATAAGGGCTCTGGGAGGGGCAGGGGCATGGGGATCCCCAAGACAGTGACACACCTCCTTCCTAATCGTCCCTTTCTGACCCATGAAACAGCTCACTGGCACCCTCCGTGCAGCGAGGGGCTGAGAGGCCACTGCCCAGGCCCCCCACCTCAGCCCCAGGTCTCTCGGGTGAATGAGCACCCGTCCCTTACAAACAGGGTGCTCCCCAGGAAAACCGGGAGTGTCTGCACCTGACCATCACGAGGGCGGAAGTGTTCCTCAGAGTCGCCCAGGGACAGTGTCACAGTCACCCACCGCATCGTCACCTTTGGGGCTGGGACCCCGGTGACCTTGAAGCACAAGGACAAGGCGCAGTGAGTGCCCTGCTCCTCCAGCCCCTCTGGTGGCCCAAGGCACAAGGCTACGGGGCCAGGGCCCAGGGTCACAAGACCCAGGGCAGGCTTAAAAAAATAAACTTTATTAACACACTGTCAAAGTCCAGGCTACCATTACAGCAACCTGTTCACAAAGCACCGCCTGCGAGCTAGGCGTGGCTGCCTGGCGCTTCCGCAGACACACGCCGAGCAAGCGCAGCCCCCGCCCAGGCGGGGCCACTGAACATGGACAGCACCACCCTGCGGGACAGAACACAGGGCGGAGGGCACGAGGCGAGGGAGACGGGAGCGGAGCCGGCCCGGCCTCAGCACCTCAGGCTGCAGGTCAGGTCGCAGGGGACCCTGCTGCCCTGCAGGGGCGGCGAGCTCCAGGCGGCGGAGCTGCTGCGCTGGTGGTAGCGCGGCTTGCTCTTCGCGAAGATGACCGCCAGGTCCAGCTGGCGGATGGCGCCAAAGAGCTCCAGCAGGTTCGGGGGGTGGCAGTACTGGTGCAGGATGGCCTGGCTGAGCTGGGCGCCTGCAGGGGACACAGGGCCGGGCCACTGCCTTGGGGGTCCCCGTGCCCCTGCCCCACGCAGAGCCCTTATCAGCCTCTGCACACCAGCATGCCACCTCCCCCCCCCCCGCCCTCCTGCCAGGCCAGCCCCTCTAAGGCCTGCTCCTCCCGCCCCCACCGCCAAACACAGCTGATGCTCACTGCACGCTCCTCCTGCCAGCTAGAATGAGGTGGCTTGGCCAGTCATCCGGCTTCCTGGCTAACTGACACCCCCAAGCGACCTGAGTCAATACCGGTTACTGTGTGGTTCACATGAGGCGGCACTCACAAGAGCAAACTGTCTTCTGTGAGCGCTGACCCCTGGGGAGGGAGACTGCAGCCGCCCTGACCCCCAGCCCTGCAAACTCTGTAGAGCACCACTGTCTGCACGGCCCCCTTCACACCCAGGCCTGAGGCCGCAGTCACGCTCACCCACACTCCCGTGTAAACGCTGGGGCCTCTAAACGGCAGGGTCAGATCCTGCTCAGTACCCGCCCCACCTCCGGGCTCTCCTGCCTCCCCAGCTGGAACTCTCAGCACCAGGTGCCCGTAGCCAGCCCCTATTCACGCATTTGTTGAGAACAAAGGCGCCCAACACGTGCTCCACAGGTGAGCCCACCGGACAGTCCACGCTTCTGAGCGTGTCCCAAGGCTGGGCACAGGCTTGCAGGCCAACACGTCAGGTCTCCAGCCTCCCAACACCCGCCTCGGCCACGCCACTTCCCCCGGGGCCCCGGAAGTCCCAAGTGAGGACTCGGTGCCCAGAGCCCGGCCCGGCTCACCTGTGGCCCAGGAGGGGATGGGCTTCCGGGGCCGGGACTCATCATCAGTGGAGTCGTCGCTGTTCAGATCCATCCCGTAGTTATCCAGGTGGATCTTGGAGGCAGTCCTGGGCCCCCGTGGCGTCGATTGATGGGAGGTACAAGCTGGAGACTGGAAAAATACATAAGGGCGTCAGCTCCCCCTTCCCTACGCCTGCAGCTCCCACCACCGAGGAGAAGCCACCTCCCCTCCTTTCACAGGAAAAACCAAAAGGCTCGGGGTCACTGTAAAAGTCACACCACATACACAGCCCTGACGTACACAGTTGCAAATGTACTTCCATGTCAGCATCAGCGTGTCTCCCGTGAACAGTTCCTGGGACCCATGATTGAAGCATCCATCTAGGCGAATGTTCAGCTAACTTCCCACTTTCCGGCCTTCACCTACGCCGCACTGAAAACCCTTCCTCGTAATGTGTTTTGTGTGTAAAGCATTAAACCGGAAGTCACCTAACTGCTTGTCAACAGGCACCAGCTAAAGAAAGTCTGAGGCCACTAGCTGGTACACAACATTCAAACATGAGAGATTTACGAGTGCTGAGGTAGAAGTGTACAATGTAAAAACAACAGGGGAGCCGAAGCCGGTTTGGCTCAGTGGTAGAGCGTTGGTCTGCAGAATGAAAGGTCCCCGGTTCGATTCCGGTCAAGGGCATATACCTTGGTTGCGGGCACATCCCCAGTAGGGGGTGTGCAAGAGGCAGCTGGTGGATGTTTCTCTCTCATCAACATTTCTAACTCTCTCTCTCCCTTCCTCTCTGTAAAAAATCAATAAAACATATTAAAAAACACACACACAAAAAAAAACAGGGGAGGAAAAACTGCCTGGCTGCTGAATGTAAGGATTAGAGTAAATGCTTGTGTTCTCCCCGCCCCCTCCCTCTACCCAAATCCCTATTAAGTCCTCTCTCTCCACAAGATGGTTTTAGGAGGTGGGGCCTTGGGTGGTGCTTAGGCCCTGAGGGAGGAGCCCTCAGGTATGTGATCAGTGCCCTTCTAACAGAAACTCCAGAGAGCTCGGCCTCTCCTTCCCCGGTGTGGTACAAGCCAGGGCACAGCAAGAAGACAGCTAGCTGTGAACCAGCAAGACGCCCCTAATAGACATTGAATCCCAGACTCAAATAAATGTTTGCTTAAGCCACCTGGTCTATGGTACTTTGTTAAAGCAGCCTGAGCAGACTGTATAGCCTCTGTCCACTTAGAACGTGTACAATGTTTATACATGTAATAATATAGAGATGTACACCAGGCTCAGAATTTTCATCTGAGGTCCCTTTCTTTCACTTTATACTCATATATATATATATATATATATATATATATATATATATATATAATTGAATTTTTACATAGAGGAGGAGAGAGGGATAGAGAGCTAGCAACGTCGATGAGAGAGAAACATCGACCAGCTGCCTCTTGCACACCCCCTACCAGGGATGTGCCCGCAACCAATGTACATGCCCCTGACCGGAATCGAACCCGGGACCTTTCAGTCCGCAGAGCGACGCTCTACCACTGAGCCAAACCGGATTCGGCCACTTTATACTCTTTTATTAAGTTTGTTTCTTTCTTTCTTTTTAAACAAATTCCTTTTTGAGAATAAGAAAGAACACATATCTAGAAGAGTAAAAACTACTGAGCCACCTGGGTCCTTCATCTTTCTTTCTTTTTTTAAAAATAAATCTTTATTGTTCAGATTATTAGTTGTTCCTCTCCCCCCCATAGCTCCCCTTCACCCGGTTCCCACCCTTCCCTCTGCCCCCCCACACACACACACTGTCCTCATCCATAGGTGTATGATTTTGGTCCAGTCTCTTCTTGTACCTCCCCCACATTCCTTTCCCCGGGGAATTGTCAGTCCACTCCCTTTCTGTGCCCCTGACTCCATTATATTCACCAGTGTATTCTGTTCATCAGAATTTTGATTCACTTGATTTTTAGATTCACTTGTTGATAGATATGTATTTATTGTTCATAATTTTTATCTTTACCTTTTTCTTCTTCTTCCTCTTCTTAAAGAATACCTTCTATCATTTTATATAATTCTGGTTTAGCAATGGTTAACTCCTTTAGCTTTTTCTTATCTGTGAAGCACTTTATCTGACCTTCAATTCTGAATGATAGCTTTGCTGGGTGAGTAATGTTGGTTGTAGGTTCTTGCTATTCATCATTTTGAATATTTTTTACCACTCCCATCTGGCCTGCATAGTTTCTGTTGAGAAATCAGCAGACAATCATATGGATGTTCCCTTATAGGTAACTAACTGTTTTCTCTTGCTGCTTTTAATATTCTCTCTTTGTCTTTTGCTCTTGGCATTTTAATTATGATGTGTCTTAATGTGATCCTCTTTGGATTCCTTTTGTTTGGGGTTCTCTGCACTTCCTGAACTTGTCTTTTCTTTCACCAGGTGGGGGAAGTTTTCTGTCATCTCTTCAAATAGGTTTTCACTATCTTGCTCTATCTCTTCTGGCACCCCCATAATTCAGATGTTGGTACACTTAAAGTTGTTCCAGAGGCTCCTTACACTATCTTCATATTTTTGGATTCTTTTTTTTCTTTCTTTTTCAATAGAGTGTTTTTTGCTTCTTGGTATTTCAAATATTTGACTTGAGTCTTGCGATCCTCTAGTCTGTTGTTGGATCTCTGTATATTATTTTTTATTTCAGTCAGTGTATGCTTAATTTCTAGTTGGTCCTTTTTCATATCTTCGAGGGTCTCACTAAATTTATCAGCCTTTTCTAGAAAGTTCTTGAAAAACCATATAACCGTGGTTTGAATTCTATATCCAGTAGTTTGCTGTCCTCCATTTCTTTCATTTGTGACCTGTTTGTCTCTGCATTTTGGCTGCTTCCCTGAGTTGGTAAAGTGGTTCTGTGTGCTAGGTTTCTTATAGGGCCCAGTGGCTCAGCCTCCCCAGTTACCTGAGATGGACACTCTTGGTGCACCCCTTTGTGGGCTGTGTGCACAGTCTTGTAGTTAAGCCTTGGTTGTTGTTGGTATCACTGGAAGGAATTGACTTTCAGGCCAATTGGCTGTGAGAATCAGCTGTGTCTATACTGGGAGAACTTCTGCGCTGGAGACACCCTTATGAGGCAAGACCTGCTTCAGGGGGGGCTTTGGTGCTCACTGAGTCTGCCCCCTGAGCGTGTCCCTTATGGATCTGGAGAATTGTAATCTGGATGGTCCTACTCTGACCCCTGGGTACTCTGACTCTTGGATTTCCAAGGAGGTGCTAATTCAGCCTCTGCCTGAGGCCACCCAGCAGGAGCTATGGAAAGATCTGCAGATTCTTCTTCTTTGTTTGGGGTTTGAAGGTGCCCAGATGAGGCCCCACTTTGAAGCAGTGCAAGTTGCTGTGGGGCCGTGGGCCTTCTTTTGGATGTTCTGGGTCTCACTGACTCAGCTGCAATTTGTTAGGTAAGTTTAGATTTTAAAGGACCAGGCCATTTATATGCAAAGCCTCTGCACATAGCTTGGATGGGGGGGAGTCTCAGTGCAGAGCAAACAGCAATGGCTTCCAATCGGCCCTGCCCTAAGAAGCTCCCGGGTCTCAGTGTCCCTTGGTAATCGCTGCAAGCAGCTCTAAGAGAAAGCTGCCCTCAAGTTCCGCCCACTGCCAGACAGTCCAGTTTCTCCCATTTAAGTCTGGGCTCCCAGAGTCTTGCCTGGAACCGGAGTTCAGAGCAGTAGGGAGCTTGAATTTCTCTCTGGATTAAAAAGCCAACTGCATACTCAGTTGCCAGCCCTCTCCATGCACGCGCCTCCGTACCTCTGCATTTTACTTTTGTAGCTCCTCTGAGTCTCAGGGTGCTTTTCTCTTCCCTTCTAGAATTTCCACTTAGCCAGCCTTCCTGTGGTTCTGGATGATGTCCGTTTTATCTTTTAATTGTAGTTTTGAAGTTGTTGTGCAAGGCTGCAAGTTCAGGTGTTTACCTATGCCACCATCTTGGTTTCTCCCTTCCTCTTTCTTATGGTTTTTACAAATAGATGTGATCTGTGCCTCCAGCTTTGGGAAGAGAATAAATCAGAGCTGGGGGCTCCTCTCTGCTCTGGTGCTTGGACTCACCTGCACATCCATGGTCATGTTTGGCCCTTTGCTGGCTGCTGCAGCCTCCTTAGCTTCCTTCTCCTGCTCCTCCGGTAAGTGCTGCTGCTTTTCCTAGGACCAGTGGCCAGTCAGGGGTTACGGGGCATGTGAATGTGCCCTCCCCAACCCCCAGGCAAAACCCACATGGCCAAGCAAGGAGTTCCCGCCCCAGGAGCCACCAGATCAGGGCTCCCCAGCCCAAAGCTCAGAACAGAGCTACTACCCACCATCACCCACCCTGTTCCCCGGTACCTTTTTCTCCTCCTCCTCCTCCTCCAATTCCCTCGGCAGCCTCCCCTTTTGCAGCCGCAGGGCCTTCTCCCTCTCCTGCAGCTCCCTGAGGACCAAACAAAGGCCTGTCATGGCGGGAAGCTGAGCCCTGGCTCAGTTCCCATCCCTGCCAGGGAAGCTGGGCCCAAGGCACTGGCTGTGGAAGGCGGGATGGCAGAAGGGGGCAGCTGCCAAGAACCCACAGTGACATCTGTGTCCCAAGGGCTGGAAAGCGCCCAGCGGGGTGCAGGGAGCACTCAGCTTTGAAGTCCACCAAATCTGACCCTACGGATTTGAGCTTGCCTCAGACTTGAGCTTCTGCCTTTGCTGTACAACGGGGATCCCAATACCTTTCCTCCAGTCACCATGAGAATTAGATGAGAAAATCTGAGTTACCACGGATCGTCCGGGCCCACAGGGTGGACCGTGGGCCCCAAGCCTGGCGTGAAGCAGAGCTGGGCTGCTTGGAGGCTTTGGAGCCACCTCCACTTACTAGTTCGTGCCTTAAACAAGGCATTTAACTTCTCTGCACCTGCCCCCGCTCTGGGAAGTGGAGCTGCTGGTTCCTGTGCCACAGGGCCTTCAAGTGAGGATTCGACAAGAAACATGGGTAGAGCGTGTAACCCCTAAGCTGCCAACCTTTATGACCATCGCACCATCACCTCCATGAAGACCCTGGCACTGGGTGGCACCCATGCAATTCTAAAACCACATCGACTGTCACCCTCCCCCGTGCCCTTTGTCCCCCGCCCAGACTCCTGTCCACGATTCTGTCATAGGACCAGCACACTTTGTGTCCATCAAGAAGCACAGGGGGCCCTGACCAGGTATCTCAAATGGTTAGAGCAACGTCCTGATACACCGAGGTTGCGGGTTTGATCCCAGGTCATGGCACATACAAGAATCAACCAGTGAATGCATAAATAAGTGGACCAACAAATCAATTGTTTCTCTATAGAAAATCAATAAAATAAAATAAAATAAAATAAAATAAAATAAAATAAAAGCATAGGGAGATGGTCCCCATGCAGTTCAGCCCCCTGGTTTCCACCCCCGACTTCCCACCAGGCCCAGAGCCACCTGAAGACTGGCAGGGACGTGTGGAGACAGGAGAGGCAGTTGCTAGGCCTGTCTGGGTATTCCCACCTCTGTACACACACGGGCACCGTTCCCTTCACCTACACACAAGCGGGGTCATCACGGCACAGATCTCACCTCTCCTGGCCAGCGCTGACTGTGGCTGTCCTCCTTGGGATCCCCAAGCCAAGCACAGGTGGGCCCCAGAATGAGGCTCACAGAACCCTCTGCAGAGACCTCTGCCTCAGAGTGGCAGCCCCAGGCTCTGCTGCCATGGATACCAAGGGAGGCCGTTGGAAATGATGGGGGTGCAGGGGGTGAGGGTCTGAGTTCTCATCACCACAGAGGAGGCCTACTTAGAGGAGGGTTTGCACTGCACCCAAAGAACTCCTGCTCAAATGCCCATGGGGTCCTGCTGAGCAACCCGCCGCCCTGCCATGTCAGCTGAGGACACAGGGAAAAAGGGGGCAGAGCGCACTGGCTGGAGGTAGAACTGAGGGAGTCCCAAGTCCCATCACATCTCCCATCTCCCAGAGCCAACACCGCACTCAGGGGCTGCCTGCCGCAGACCTCTGGGAGCCGAGCCAAGGGAAGCGTGGTCCTCTTTGCAAAGCCCAGGGCAGGGGGACCTGCTCTAGAGGGCCGCTCCGTCTCTCTCCACACAGACACACGTGGCTGGGCATCGCCCTGGCCCCGGGGGCCGGCCCCCCAGCCTGGCCTTCGGGCTCCTTCACCTCTCAGCCTGGAGCCGCTCCTGCTCCCTCTGCAGCTCCTGTTCAGCCACCTTCAGCAGATGCTCTTGCTGCTCCTCCTCCTCCTTCTTCCTTTGCTGCTCTTCCTCCTCCTGTGAACACAGAGCAAAGTGAGGGTCTCAGGCCAGGCCGGGGCTGCACAGGAGCCAGAGGTCTGGGAAGGAGGAGGGGGGGGTTGGCATGAGTCAACAGAGATCGTGAAGGGCTGAGCGAGGGTCGCCCCACCCCAGGAGCCACAATCACCACCCAGCCTGAAAAGGCATCTTGTGGCGACTCCTTTTGCTGCTGCAGCAGAGATAGGAGTTATGGGTACAGACTGGAGCCAGACGCACTTGCTGTGAAGCTGGGCTATCATTTTAAGCCCTCGGGCCTTGGTTTCCCCATCGCTCAAATGGGGACAAAGTTGCTGAGTCTATACACATGCCTAGACCAGTGCCTGGCCCGGAGTAAATACTCAACAAGTTTAGCCATCCGTGTGGTAACCCCAAAGACAGATTTGCGTTCCCTGGGGTCACAAGACGGACAGCTCCAAGGAGGAGGGAGGCCCCTACTCTTGTGGGTAGAACATCCCACCCTCACAACTGCCCTGTCAAGGAGATACCACGGCTTCCTGAAGGAACCTAAGCACAGAGGACAAGCAACCTGTGCGGGGTCACACGACTAATGAGAGCGAGAGCCAAGGAGACTGGAGTCTGGCTTAGTGTCCATGTGCCTCACCTTTAGAGTGCCACCCTACAGACACACAGAGGCAGGGACTGCCACCACCCCCATCGCCAAGGCGTCGGCGGAGCCTCCTCAGGGCTGGAAGCCACAGCTCCACCAGATGAAGCCAACAAAGTGGGGGACGCCCAGCGGTCCTCAGGGCTGAGGCCACGCCCATCCTGCCCCACCCCTTCCTCGATGCCCACCCGCCACCTGGGTTCGCACCTGTTGCCCACCCCTGAGCCTCCGGGCCTCCTCCTCCTGCTTCCTGCGCTCCTCCATCTTCACGGCCGCTGCCGCTTTCTTGGCCTTCTCCTCGGCCAGTCGTTCCTCCTTGGCCTGTATAGCCCACCCATACCTGCCCATTACAGCAGCCCTCCTCACTCAGCCCTGAGAGCGGGTCCCAGACTGTGACAGGCTCCCATGCCCCTGCCCACCCGCTTATTCCGCACAGGCCAGGGGAGGGGGCCCCGGGGTGCCTGCCAGCCCACCCACTCGCTAAGGGCTGCCGCTCACTCCTCCCACCCTCAGCCGGGCTCAGAACACACTCCGGGGCGTCACCCCCCTAACTTCCCCAGGGAGGGGTCCAGTTCTCATCCTCGGGCCACCAAGTTTGACCGGCGTGGGCCCCGGCAGGGAACAGCCCACTGACACCCGGAGGGCCACCAGCCCAAGGCTCTCACCTTCTCATTCTTACCCCGCGGAGCGATCTTCTGCTCCATCTGCTTTATCTTCTCCTCCCTCATCTGCTCCGCCCGCTCCCGGGCCCGCAGCACCTTGCGCAGGCGCTCCTCCCGCTTCCTGTGAGCACGGGGTGATCAGGGGGGCTCGGAGGGCCAGCGCGGCCGGCCGTGCTGCACGGGGCTGGGAGCTGCTCCACTTACAGCTTCAGCTCCTCCCGCCGCCGCCGCTTGTCCTCCTCCACCTTCAGCCTGCGGAGCTGCTCTGCCTCCTCTCTCTGACGCAGGTGCTCCAGGCGCCGCTGCGCCTTCTCCTGAGGGGAGGGTGTGTGAGCAAGGACAGACAGTGCTGGGCCAGGGGTATAGCTGGCCCAGGACAACCTCCCCTACCCCATCCAGGCCCACAGCCTCCAGCCAGAGGGGCAGCGGCATCAGACTGCTTCTGAGGGCAGAGGCGCCCCCCGCAGCCTCCACTGCCCCCCAGACTGAGGTCTGGCCTTCCGTCTTTCTTCTCAGGCACCCTGAGGCCTCCCAAGGGCCTGTGTCACCGATGCCTTCGACTTGGCCCTGCCAAACGGAGGGCACCACAACAAACAGGTCCACAATTGGATGTATGCTCTGAGGACCACTATGTCCAAGTGCATTGAAAAGGAGAAAGAAGAACGAGATTGGGACTTTATTACTGTGCTCTGTAACCCTTTTACGCTGTGTGTGTGCTTTAACAAGTAAGCACAAGCATTCTCAAGACAACTGGGAAGACAGAAAATCTCAGCAAGTAGACTCAAAGAAGAACAAAATGAAGATTTTAGAACTAATCATTAATTACTGAAATAAATTCCGTGGGTGGGTCCCAGAGCAGATGGAGAAGATAGACGTCAGTCAAACATGAGGATAAATTAGCAACATGTATCCAACCTGAACACGGAGAAAACATATGGGAGGAAAATTAATGGAGCCTGAGGCAGCTGTGAGATGACACCAAAGCGTCCATCACTGGTGCCATCTTTCCACAATGGGAAGAGTTCAACACAGGGGAAAATGTGGGAAAATAAAGGCTTGGAAACACTCCAATTTGGGTAAAAGCTATAAATTTACAGTTTCGTGGAAACCCACGTAGCAGGATAAATCTAAAGAAACCCATGTCTAGCTACATCATAATCACACAGCTGAAAACTTAATACAAAGGAGAACATTTTTATTTTTTTATTATTTTAAAAAAATATATTTTATTGATTTTTTACATAAAGGAAGGGAGAGGGATAGAGAGTTAGAAACATCGATGAGAGAGAATCATCGATCAGCTGCCTCTTGCACACTCCCTACTGGGGATGTGCCCGCAACCAAGGTGTATGCCCTTGACCGGAATCGAACCTGGGACCTCTCAGTCCACAGGCCAATGCTCTATCCACTGAGCCAAACTGGTTTCAGCAAGGAGAACATTTTTAAAAGCAGCCATAAAAGGGGGTGGGGATGAGACAATGACTTGACATTACTTAGGGGTTGAGAGTGGGACAATGATTTGAATGACTGAAAACTTCTCCCCAGAAACAATGGGTGCCAGAAGGAAGTGGCACAACATTGGTAAATTGCTGGAAGGAAAGAACTGTTAACCAAGAGCTCTATCCATATTCAATGGCATTATCCTTTAGGAGGGAATGAGACCAGTGTCAATGTCCTTCAGAAGTGAAGTGAGACCTTTTCAAATAAAGAAAAAGTAGAGAAGTTGTTGCCAGCAACTCCTTCTCCAAGAATTGCTAAAGGAAGTTGTCCACACAAAAAATAAATGATACCAACAGGACATGTGAAACATCAAGAATGAAAGAAGCCGAAACCGGTTTGGCTCAGCGGTAGAGCGTCGGTCTGCGGACTGAGGGGTCCCAGGTTCGATTCCGGTCAGGGGCATGTACGTTGGTTGCGGGCACATCCCCGTTGTGGAGTGTGCAGGAGGCAGCTGGTTGATGTTTCTCTCTCATCGATGTTTCTAGCTCTCTATCTCTCTCCCTTCCTCTCTGTAAAAAATCAATAAAATATATAAAAAAAAAAAAAAAAAGAATGAAAGAAAAAGAAAAACGATAAACATTTGGGTAAATACCACTAGGCTATTTTTTTCCTCTGGAGTTCTTTACAATGTTTGGCAGTTGAAAGAATGATTCTGACACTGTCTCACAGGGTGGTCCATGTCTGAAGACGTAACATGTAAGAGAAGAATAGCACACAGTGGGGAGACTTATATATATAGTAAGACTTCTATATTACAATCGAACTGATATCAATTCTAAAGTGGCTGTGAAAATTAAGTATGTAATGCAACCAGTACAAGACTGCAAAATGAACTAGTCAAAATCACAACAGACAAATTCAAATGGAATACTAAAAAACGTTCAAATGTTTGCAAAATATAGATTTTACTGTATAATTTTCAACATAGGTGTCATTGTATAATTTTTAACATAAAAGAATTTTTTCTTTAAGACGGAGAAAAAATAGAAGAGAGATGACAGGAGCCACAGAGGCCGATCAGGGTACAGGAAGGACCGGGAGGAGGGCATGGATCTTTGGGAGGCCCCACAGGGAAGGGTTAGGTGGCCTTTGGCTGGCTCTCATTCTCCAATATTCTAGTCCCGTGGTCGGCAAACCGAGGCTCGCGAGCCACATGCGGCTCTTTGGCCCCTTGAGTGTGGCTCTTCCACAAAATACTACGGCCTGGGCAAGTCTATTTTGAAGAAGTGGCATTAGGAGAAGTTTAAGTTTAAAAAACTTAAAAGGTCAAAAGAAATTTCAGTTGTTGTACTGTTGATATTTGGCTCTGTTGACTAATGCGTTTGCCGACCACGGGCCCAGCCCCAGAGAAGACCAGCAGGAGGCTGGTCCTCGAACCATCACCCCCACCTGCCCTTCTGTGAGGAAAGCAGCTTGGAAGAAACTCCCAGTGGCCCAGAGTGTGCCCACCACCATCTCTTCCTGCCCCGAGAGCCCAACAAACTCCTGCTGTCGACAGGGGTCAGCACAACAGGTTTTCGTCTCAGAACTTGAGAGCTAAAATTTCCCAGTACAGGGCAGAAGACTCATCCTGTGGCACTGTGAATTTTATACAAGACAAGAGTTGTTTATACCCTTGAAGGAGGGCTGGGTGGTCCCTGCTCCCCAGAGGCCACCGTCACAGCCAAAGCAGAAGGCGGGGACACAAAAGCATCTGCCCTTCTGGCTCCAGAGGTTTCAACCAAGCCATCTTCTCTCCATGCCCAGCCCGGTGCTGGGTGCTGGCCACGTTCCTCCCTGGTTCATCCAATCTCTGTGAGGCGCCAAGGAAACTTATGCCCAGAGATTAGAAAATCAGCCCAAGGCCACAAGGGCCTTGCGATCTAGTGAGGCCCCCTGGTCTCCTGAGGACTGTCCTACCCCCACCAGATGCCCTGGGCAGGGACGTGGGCTCCCTACAGCAGGAAAAGGCCGTTTCCTGGACCTCTCAGCCATGCCAAGAGCCCTGCAAGGCCCCACTCAGTCTGGAGTGGCACAGAAGCTCCCTGTGGGATGAACAGTCTGAGCCTGGTTCACTGCAGTGGGCCCTGGTGCCTCACAGGGGCCTGGCAGAGAAATAGGCATTAAGGGCTCCCTGCCCACAGGCTGGCATATTGGAAGGTAAGCCGTTGCCACGGCCACCCAGAGACCAGCCTCCTTGAAGGCGAGGCAAGTTCAGGGTCCACCTGTCCAACTGCTCGGAAGCCCCTTGACCTGCTGAGCCCCACGGCTGTGCTGCTGAGGCCCTCCGAAGCACCAGTGGGAACTTAGCAATAAAGCGGCTGCAGCTTTGCAACTCGGGAGCCTGAGAGCCGGGACTCGGGCCAGCAGATCCCAGCTCTCTGTGGCTCCTGGCTCACGGCAGGTGGCCCAGCCCAGCTCTGGGGTGTCTGGGCAGAGAACAGCTTCTGGGGCCCCCTTTTCAGAGGCCCCTGCTGACAGTTCCACCCGCAGTCACCTGTCTGACCTTCAAGCACCCATTGCTCCGCCCTCCCCTCGGGGTGGTAGCTCAGGGATGGGCAGGAGGGAGGTGGCTCATCCCGGAGTGAAAGTGTCACAAGTGAAAGTGTCACAAGTATGTCCTACACCTTAACCCTCAAGGCTCTGGGTGTGGGGTGGGTGGTCAGGATGTGGGCCTGCTAAGCCAACTCTTCAACTTCCCAGCCCAGGGATCACGCTGAGATGCCAAGCCTCTAGGCCACAGTGCTGAACCCAAGAGGTCAGGACAGTCCCCGGGTGCCAAGGCGGCCCATGGCCGAGAGGCCCGAGCAGGCCCTTGACCAGAGCCAGGTCACACCTGCCTTAGCGCAGACCCAGCAGCCTCGGGGCCGCCCAGGAGCTGCTGCCCTGCAGCCCCGCAAAGCAGAGCTCAGCTGGGGCCCGGGCTCCCTCACCTGAGGGTCCACGCGCAGGGGAGTGTTTCGCTTAACGAAGGATCTTATGACCCTGCTGCGGGAGGCCGGGGTCGGGGTCATGGGCACCTGGTTCCTCTGCGTGGCGTGCGGGAAGGTCCGGACAGGCTGCACCACCTGCGGACGGACCAGGGTCAGGCCAGGGGTGGAGTCCGGGGCGGGCAGGGGGCCTGAGGGCAGGGTGCCGCCACTCACCCTGCTGGCTGGACCGGGCGGGGTAGGGGTGCTGCTCCGGGGGAGCTGCAGGGCCTCCTCCAGCTCACGCACAGCTTCCTTGTTGTCGAGCTTTCTTCTGCAGGTGTGCTTCCTCCCACAGATCACAGGGCTGACCCAGGCACCCCCACCATTACGAAGAAAACTGGGACCCGCCCATAGGACGCTACGCTGCAGAGGTGGGGTCTCCCCTGACGGACCCCCCATGCCCAGGCAGACAAAGGGAAGGGGCCAGTCGGAGGTCACATGGCCAGGAGGACACACAAGGGTGGAGTCTAGGGTCTGGCCACTTCCTCCCAGGCCAGGCGCGTTGCCCAGCATCAGGCTGCCTCCTTCCTTCGGTCAGAGCACCAGGCCCCTGACCGTATGCCCAGCCTCCCCAGGAGGACCCAAGGTTCATGCCCCTCCGGGCCCCTCGGAATAGTGGCCCACACCCCTTCCCCGACACAAACCTGAGACTCTGGGGTGGCTCCTCGGGGCCATCTGCCTGATGGATCTTGGCCTCTGTGAAGAGAGAGTGATTTCAGTGAGGGAGCAGTGACAGCACGGAGGGTCGGAAGGGGCCCACGGGTGGCAGCTGGGCGGGGCTCTCTCCCGACAGATCCCAGGGTGACTGGTGGCAGAAGCATCAGCCTTAGCACCACGGGCCTGGGCAGATCTGTGGGCACCAGAGCCAGCACGCAACCCCCGGCCCATGGACTGCTCCCCGAGCCCCCAGCCTGGCCTCTGTGCCGGGAACTTCAGGACGAACCAGGACCTGGCGCCTCTCACAGAGCTGGGTGCCTTCCAGGAGCAGAAGCCCATGAAGGTGCAAGCTCTCCCAGATCCACTGACGAGCTTCCAAACCCCACCGCCTGGCCCTCTCAGCGGGAGCTGATGTGAGGGGGGGAGGTTCTATGCAGGGTCCCCATGGGGTATAGGGGCGGTCAGTCCATTCTGTTTCACTGCCAGGACAAAGCACCGATCCTTCCCCCGTCCTTTGTCCCAAAGGGTCCTGCAGCCCTCAGGGAGCTGCGGGGCTGGCATGGCCATTGTCCCTGACCTCGCAACTACAGTGCTCTTCCCAGCAGGGAGCCGAGCTGGACCCCAGGCCCCTGTGGCAGACGGGGGATGCCAGAGCCCAGAGTCGGTGGCCCTCCGTCCTCTGTAGACAAGGACCCACAAAGGTGAGAAGGGAGCCAGTGGCAAGGACTAAACAAGCCCCCAGCACACAGCTCCTCCTGCTGCCCCCTGGAGTGGCGTTCCAGGCCTGCCCCAATTCAAGCCCCTCCCCCAGCCCCTCCCCCATTTCCTGCACCAACCAGCCATGGCCACTCGCATGGCACTTGGCAGCAGCTCGACCAAAAGGCAGGAGATGGGTCTCATTTACCTTCCGCTTATAGCCCAGGAAATGTGGCTCCCCTCTCCCCAGAGGGAAAGCCCGACCGAGGCCTCCCGGCCCGCACGCCGCAGGTGCCTGCCCACGGCCGCAGGAACTCACCGCGCTGCCCTGCAGAGGGCCTGTGCTGGCCACCGGCCGCAGGCTGCGAGCCAGCCACACTAATGACCACCCCGGGGGCACCTCGGGGTCGCAAGGCGCTCTCTTCATTCTTGGGGACCTGAGGGGAACCAAGACTTTAGGGGTCTACCCACGAGGCTTGCAACCAGGGCAGCAGTGGGCAGGGGCAGTCTGTCCCGGGCAAACCCCGCGAACCTGTCCCCAGGCCCCCTTTTCTATGACTTTTTAGTGAGCCAAGCAGTCCAGCGTAGGCTCATTCCCCCACCTAGGCCTTCTCCTGTTTGCTTCTACTATCCTAGGGCCTTCCTTGTTTCTGTAATTAATGTGCTCTAAAATTAAAAATAATTTTAGAGCACATTAATCGTTGCTTTTTTTTTTTTTTTTTTTTTTTTTTTTTTTTAAATATTTTATTGATTTTATACAGAGAGAAAGGGAGAGAGATAGAGAGTTAGAAACATCGATGAGAGAATCATCGATCAGCTGCCTCTTGCACACCCCCTACCGGGGATGTGCCCGCAACCAAGGTACATGCCCTTGACCGGAATCGAACCCGGGACCCTTCAGTCCCCAAGCCGACGCTCTATCTATTGAGCCAAACCGGTCCCGGCTAATCGTTGCTTTTTTATTTTTCAGTTTGGCTCAGTGGATAGAACAACGGCCTGCAGACTGAAGGGTCTCAGGTTTGATCCAGTCAAAGGCACATACTTGGGTTACAGGCTCAATCCCTTGGTCAGGACATGTGTGGGAGGCAACCAATCAAGGTGTCTCTCTCACATGGAAGTATCTCTCTCTCTCTCTCTCTCTCTCTCTCTCTCTCTCTCTTTCTCTCTCTCCTTCTCTCTTCCACTCTTTCTAAAAATTGGGGAAATATCCTTGGGTGAAGATTAACAGAAGAAAAAAAAAATCAAACTTTAGGAGTCTGCACCTGGGACTCACAGCACAGAGCGCAAGCTCTAAGGCCCTCCCTGGCTGCCTGCCTTACCTCAGGCCCCGCCTCCTCCATCGGCCCCGCCTCCTCCATCGGCCCCGCCTCCTCCATCGGCCCCGCCTCCTCCATCGGCCCCGCCTCCTCCATCGGCCCCGCCTCCTCCATCGGCCCCGCCTCCTTGCTGGGGTCCTCGGGGCTGAAAGCAGAGAAGACACTGTGAGCCTGCCAGCAAAATAGTCCCCGCAGGAGGACCGCCTCTAACCCCTGAGGTAGAGACCCTGGAGGAGGGCATGGCAGATCTCGGCCAACATTCTGGTTTTACAAATGAGGAAACTGAGGTCAGGGAGGCTGACCACACATCCCTGTGGTTAATGCCATTCTCGAGCCGGTGCCCTCCACCCAGGGCCAGGGTGTTCCGCTCTCCTCCCGCAGGGGCTCAGCAGGGCTCCTCCCTGGACCAGTATGTTCTGCTCCCCTCCCGCAGGGCTCTCAGCTTCACTCCTATCGGTGAGACTGTTGAGTCTGAAGATATTGAGGTGAAGGCATGTGACTAGTCATCGCAGTCGCCTCATTCTGCGGGGGACAGCTAGCTGGGCTGCAGTGCTAGTTCATCCATGTACCTCCCCTGTGGCCCCGGGCAGGTTACAGAACTTCCTCATCAGTCAGCTGGGGTGATAACAGCATCAGCTAAAAGGGCTCGGGTTCCTTTCGTTAACCCACGTAGGGCGCTTATGATTGTTTGCCATGTACAAAGGGCTCTGTCACTTTAGCAGTTTTGATCCTCGTCGGATCCCAGCTCAGAGGACCTGGTCCCAGTGGGAGCCACAGAGGAGGACAAGCAGCTCCAAGAGTGAGGCCGGCTGCATGGAGGCGGTGGCGGCGTCCTGCCAGGTGGAACAAATGTGGGGAAAGGTACCCCTGGCAGAGGGAACAGCTTGTACGGAGACCCTGAGGCATGAAGCCCCTGAAGCGTGAAATGGCAAGTGATGGGGCAGCTGGGGCTCATGGGCCACACAGGGGCTTGGGCTTGATCCCACTAATGTTGGGAGGTTCCTGGCACTTTACAAAAACTGTCCAAGAGGGAGGGAGGGAACGAGGCAGGGAGACCAGCTCAGGTCAAATATAAAGAGAAGGGCTGCCCTAGCCGGTTTGGCTCAGTGGACAGAGCATCGGCCTGTGAACTGAAGTGTTCCAGGTTCAATTCCAGTCAAGAGCACATGCTGTTTGATTCCCAGTGGGCGGTGTGAAGGAGGCAGCCAATCAATGATCCTCTCTCATCATTGATGTTTCTATCTCCTCCTTCCTTCCTCTCCGAAATAAAAAATATATATATTAATAAAAAATAACCAGCGATCAGACTCTCAAACCTCAGAGGGAAAGTAAGGGAGGATTGGGTAAGGGGAAGAGATCAACCAAAGGATTTGTGTGCAAACATATGGGCCTAGCCAGTGGCCATGGACAATGGGGGGTGGGGGGCATATCTAGGGAGGGGTTTGGGATGGGAATGGGGGAATAAGGACAATTATGTGAGACCATAATTAATAAAAAATAAATAAATAAATACTTTTTAAAAATAAATAAATAAAAAATAAAGTGAAAGGCTTGGAGGCAGAAGACCAGGGTTCTAGCCCAGGCTCTGCCACCCCGTGCCATGAGACCCTGGGCCACCCTCTCTGAGCCTTAGTCTCCCAACCTGTAACTTTGGGATAATGCCAGTGCTCACCGCACTGCTGGGAAGATTAAATGCATAGAACCTCTCGCTGACTGAGCTCACACTGTACCCAGCAGTCCGCTACAGGCTTTGCTCATGTTATCACTTAACCTACAAGCTATGTTATCATGTTATCACTTAACCTACAAGCTATGTTATCATGTTATCACTTAACCTACAAGCCAGTGCAGTACTGAGAAGCAGGGACCATTCTCACTTTAGATTTGAAGAAACTGAGGCTCAGAGAGGTAGAAAGTTAACAAAAGGACATAGTAAGGGGCCAGAGCTGGGTATGTACCCAGGATCTCCTGCCCCAAGACCCGGCCTCCTTTGCTGGTAGTCTGCAGCCCTCGGTCATTTCCATGGGGATCACAACAAGCAGAGCCCAGCGCTGAGCAACAGACCCCAGGGCCACAAGCAGAGCAGAAACTTGGGTTCTTTCTTCATCCATCTCTGGAAACCCTTCCCATCCTCCGAGGTCCAGATCAAACCACCCTGACCCCCACACACAGACATACACACCCTGGACTCCCAGGTCTTGGGTCATGCCTTGTTTCCCTGTAATAATTCACCCCCACGTGCCACCCACCACCACTCCTGCAGGCCTCTGCTCCCAATTCACTCCTGGGAACCACTCTCTCTCGCTGGGCACCCAGCCTCCAGACACCGTCTGCCCGGCTGACCCTCCCTGGCTAGTGGCAGCCCCCGGCCCCTCTTACCTTTTCCTTTTCCGGATGGGGTTTCTGCCGGCATCCTGAATGTTAGCAATCCTTCTCTTCCCTCGGTTCTTCTGAGAGGGCGTTTTGGGCATCAGCTCCGGCTCCTTGATGAATCCTCTGGTACAACAAGGGTGATACCTGTGGCTGCCTGGAACCACTGACACCCCCCTTTCCCAGCCCAGCCCCCACCCATTTCCTGGCAGTGACAGGTCACGTTTGGGTGACTCGCAGCAAGGGAGTCCTCCGAGACGCAGCAGGGGAGCAAGGTGGCCAGGGAAGCACGTGCAGCCCCATCCTCCGAGGCCCAGCCCAGCACCTCTCCTTCCTCTTCCCATTAGCCTAGCTCAGGCCCAGCACCCTGGGCACTCGGGAGAGATCCCTGTCCATCAGGAAATGGGCCGCTGTCTCCCCAAAGCTGGAGCAGCCGGCAGCCCCGGTGCCTCCGCCAGCCTGCCCCTGTCCCCGCCCTCACCTGGTGAACATACGCCTGGCCTCCTCCTGGATCTCCTCGAGCCACACAAAGTGGGGGTCCACTTTGCACACAAACTCCATAAGCTTCTGGTCACACAGCTCCAGCAGGTGAACAGGCCCTGGGGCTGTCCCCATGGTGGCTCTGTCTGGGGAAAAGCAAAAACAAGAGGCACAGGGGCTCAGGACTGGGAACTGGAACCTTCTCCAGGGAGAGACTGCCAGGCCACAGCGCCCATCCCCCAAACTCCACAAGGCACCAAGTGCCTGCGTCAGGGCCCCTCCCTCTCATAGCTATTCCCCAGAGAGGCAGAATTCCAAATGCCAACCTGCTAGCCTCATTTTTGCAAAAAGAAAGGCCTGTCTTCAATGCCTTCCCTCTACCCACCCACAGCACCTGTCCCCATACGTCCACCTTCCAAACCAATTCTGGTGTCAACAGTCCTCCATGCAAATGGCCTTCTCTGGGCTTAAAGTGACAAGCCGTGGTCAGCTGCCTTCCCAGATCAGGGAGAGACCATGGCGGCCACAGGACCCCTGTCCACCTTCACAAGCCCGGCCCTGCTCTGACTCTTCTTCCTACCTGCGGGTGAGCAAGGGCTTAGACACAGCCACCCTGAGCTACACACGAAGGGGCTGGGTCTCAGGGAATCACCAGGCAGAGTAAACAGTGTGCTCCAGGTTGATGGGGATTCAGATATGGTTGCCAGTCAGGCCTGGGACAGGGGAGGTCTGGGTATAGGAACAATGACCCCTGGCCTCACGCCAAATAACACAGAATCCAACTGCCTCTTCAAGAGGCCAGTGAACGGAAGGCGTTCTGCATTCCAAGGGAGTTGGTAAGAAAGTAGGGAGCAGAAACTTTTTCTCCAAGAGGCCCCCACAACCTTTTCTCTCCTTGAGCTGAAATGCCCCAGACGTGGATAATGGAGCATGAGGGGAGCGGAGAAGCAATGCCTTCTTTTTAAGAAAACTTCTGTGGAATTTTTGGGTAGGAGAGAATACAAAACCAGTTTTCTCTTCATTTCTTAAAAACCAGCAGCTTAGGAGGGAAACCAAGATGGCGGCGTACGTAAATGCTGGCACTCACCGCCTCCCACAACCATCAAAATTACAACTAAAATACAGGACAACCGTCATTCAGAACTGCCTGAAAGCTGAATGGAAGTCCTACAACCAGAGAAGTAAAGAAGAAAGTATGGTGAGACTAGTGAGAGGGGTGGAGGTGCCCACCGGGCTGGGCTGGCACCCACGAGGGCTTCAGAGGTCACCCTGAGCAGCAAAGGGTCCCAGCCCCACATGACACCCCACCCAGGGTCCCAGAGCTGGGAAGGGAAGTCCCCATAACTTCGGGTTGTGAAGACCAGTGGGAATTATGGCTGAGAGACACGAAGGCTGCTGGAGTGGAAACCCAGGTATCCCTCTTAGTAAGGTGACCAGACGTCCTGCTTTGTGCGGGACAAATTGTTAAAAATCAGGGCTGTCCCACCAAAAGCGGGATGACTGGTCACCTTATCTTAAAGGGCCTTGGCATCAACTTATTCAGACTTGCTTAATCTGAGCTCCAGTGCTGGGAGGCTTTGGGGGACACAGATACATATGGGGAGGAACTGGATTGTCTGACTTTCTACCAGATAGAGGTGCTGGAAGGGGTCATTGTTCCTATGTCCAGACCTCCCCTGTCCCAGGCCTGACTGGCAACCACATCTGAGTCCCCATCAACCTGGAGCACACTGTTTACTCTGCCTGGTGATTGCCTGAGACCCAGGCCATCCCATTTGCAGCCCCATCCAATCTGTTTGCAGCAGATTTTCCATATGAAAGGCCTGTCCTGGCTCAGGCTTCTGACATTGCTAAAATCTTTCAAACAAGCTGCAGCTGCCCCAAACCTATCAATTAAAGGCCCAAGAGTTGCACCCAGTGGACAACTTCAGACCATATCAGGTTACAATCCGACACATCCACAAGTGACACACTCAAGGGGCAGACTCAGTGAGCACCAAAGCCCCACTGAAGCAAGTCCTGCTTCATAAGGGTGTCTCCTGCACAGCAGCTCTCCCACGGTACTTGCAGGTGGTCCTCATAGCCAATTGGCCTGGAGGTCAATTCCTCCTAGTGATGCCAATAGCAATCAACTCTCAACTACAACAACACTGTGCATATAGCCCACGTAGGGGCCCACCTAGAGTGCCCAGCTCAGGTGACTGGGAAGGCTGAGCCACTGTGCCCTACAGGACACCTACTACACAAGATCACTCTACCAAAGCCAGGAGACATGACAGCTCTACTGAATACACAGAAACAAACACAGGGAAACAGCCAAAATGTAGAGGCAAAGAAACATGTCACAACTGAAAGATGGAAGAAAGCAAACTACTGGATACAGAGTTCAAAACCACAGTTACAGGATTACTTAAGGGTCTTCATGAGACCTTCAAGGGACTTAGTGAGACTTTTAAGGATCTTATACAGGAAAGTTAGTTTTTGGCAGAGCTCAGCTTTAAAAAGGTCAGCCTAAGTTAGGACAAAAGTGACCCTAAGAAAGGAAGCATCGGTGTACCAAGAATGAGGCTCATGGGAAGAGGAGCAAAAATGTCTTCAGCCCGTGTCAAACCGTGTGCAAACCCAGAGCACCCAACGTCCCATGACAGAGAAGGGAGCTCATCGCCTTCCCTCCCCCAATACCCCCTCACACCCACCACACTCCAGACCCAGGCCCCCTGCCCTCCTTAGCGGTGCCTCTTCTTTTGAGAGTGCAAGAAGGGAGGGAGCTGCTCCCATTTACCAAGTCCTACCTAGTCCACGCCCAGGTGAGGCATCTCATTAATTCTCACCTCAGCCTCAAGGCTACCCAGGTGCGGATGAGGAAACGGAGGCAAAGAGACATTAACTCAGCCATCCTGGGGCCTGGATTTAACTGCTCTTAACCACAAGCTGTGCCGCCTACTCCACGGAAACCTCTGAAAGGCCCGCGTCAAGGTTTGGCTTCGGGCACCCCAGAGGCGGCCACGGAGTCTGGATGGAGCAGAACCGCTGACAGTGGCCCTGGCTGGGGAATGACAAGGGGCACCTGGAAAGGGTCAGTTTAAAATGTTGCTCAGCGGGAGGCGGAGGTGTTGGCATAATTCCATCACACAACCCTGGCAGTCAGCCAACGGCCTCCTAGGCACCCGGCGGCGACAGGGCGACTTTCTCAGAACCTGGTAACCTAGGTCAGTGGTCGGCAAACTGCGGCTCGCGAGCCATATGCGGCTCTTTGGCCCCTTGAGTTTTTAGCAAAGGCGAGCGTAGGAGTGCCCTAATGAAGTTAATAACAATGTACCTACCTATATAATTTGAGTTTAAAAAATTTGGCTCTCAAAAGAAATTTCAATCTTTGTACCGTTGATATTTGGCTCAGTTGACTAATGAGTTTGCCGACCACTGACCTAGGTGGAAGATGGGGGGTAAGGGAGGGGGTGTCATCTCAGGCCCAGGACTAAGGAAGGCCACCTCGCCATGGGAAAGAGGTGACCGGTCCAATTCCCGGGTGGGAAGCAGCAGGGCCCCCCACCCTCCCCGACTGGAGCTCACGGAAGGAGTAACAAATTGCTCACCACCCCACTCCGCCGCCGCCGGCCACCGGGGCACACTCACTCGGTTGCACAGCATCTCCTAAATGCTACTCGGATCCAAGTCCCATGGTCTCAGACCCTCAGCTCCCAAGCTCCCGGCTCCCCGCCTGCAAGGGAAATGTGCAAAGCTGACTGGAGGCTGGAGCAATTGGCAACTTGACCAGGGCGGCTGCAAAACTCTACGCCTATGGGATGCAAGAAATCGCCTGTCAGGCCACCTATTGGCTGCTTGGCTTGGCAGTCTGTGGGACTATGGGCGGGGAAAGGAAGTTTTGAAGCTTCTGGCCCAGGCTCCGCGGGCCAGAACTCTAAGGCCCAGCATGCACTGTGAAGGATTCAGGGGCGTGGCAGGCACCTCTGGTATCCTCCTGATGCCAACTCCTGGATCTCCCAGGTAACGCTGGTCCAGGTGTAAGGGACAGTCACCAGATCCGTGATGCCTGTCACTACTTGAACCAATTAAAACAGAGAGGATTGAATCATATATGAGCATTTATTCCAATACTGCCGGCAGCTGGTCAGCCACAAAAATCTGTTCTCTACCCTCTATAAGCCAGCTGCTTATTTTGGGGAGAAGGACAAAGATTACACGGGGAAGTAGGCAAAATGCATGCCAAATGGGCTGTTGACAGGTCTTGGGATTTGCAAAGGCCTGTGGGTATGCAAAGGCTGGAGGTCCCCAAAAGGCTGGTACAGCTCTTCAGGCCCCTTGAGTTTTCAGCAAAGGCCAGCTTAGGAGTACCCTAATTAATAACAATGTAACCTATATAGTTTTAAGTTTTAAAAATTTGGCTCTCAAAAGAAACTTCAATCGTTGTACTGTTGATATTTGGCTCTGTTGCTAATGAGTTTGCCGACCACTGGGCTGGTGACATACAAAGGCCTGGGGATCTTTAAAGGGCTTAGTGATATGCAAAGGGCTATCAAGGGCTGGTCTTCCAAGGGCTGGCAGCTCTGGTTTTTGCAACAGGTTAATGTTTCCATGATAAATGGCAACTTCCTGATGGGGAGGACGGGCTGCATTTCCAGGTGAGCTCCTAGGTCCCACAGGCAACTCCCAGCCATGTTAGAATGTGCTTTTTTTAATCAGAACAAAACAATCACGGTTAACAGAGCATGATTAATATTTCTTACAATTACAACTGGTCCCCAATATTCTCTTTCCGCCACTATCACAGGGAGGGAGTCTTGCACTTTGCCATTTCTTCATTCAGCTGTCTTCCATACAGGAAGTGTGATTGGCAACTGGAAAGTGTTTGACAGGGAAAGCGATACAAAGTTGTTGTTTTTTTAATATATTTTATTGATTTTTTACAGAGAGGAAGGGAGAGAGATAGAAAGCTAGAAACATCGATGAGAGAGAATCATCGACCAGCTGCCTCTTGCACACCCCCTACCGGGATGTGCCCACAACCAAGGTATATGCCCTTGACCGGAATCAAACCCGGGACCTTTCAGTCTGCAGACCGATGCTCTACCACTGACCCAAACTGGCTTCGGCGATACAAAGTCTTTATATATTTA